CTCATGATACTGACTGCAATTTCCCACAATGCAACAGCTCCCCTCCCACTTCCTACGCATAGTTACCTCTTCCCTGTGTCCTTCTCTCCCATGCACTCCTGCCCCCTGAACTGTCTCCTGTGCATACACAGCCCTTCTATTCTCCCATGACTGATCTCTCCAAGGAGTGTATCTACCTAATGTAAATGTTCAGCTTATATGCCTATCTTTTGTTTGGCTGGAAACCACAGGAGTGGGTTCAATTCCAGACCTCAAAGGCAGCTAGGGCCCGTAATCTCAGGGATTTCACCAGACTCTGTCAGACCAGCAAACCTGGTCCCTGTGTGTGTGTGTATGTGTGATTTTGAGTTTTGTTCCACATTGTTCACCCCCTCTATCGAGGGTCTCTTACATGGATCCTCCTCTGAGTGGTTGACAGTGGTAGCCTGACACCATCTAGTTCTGCTGTTCTCATAGTTGTATAGGCTGAGGACCGCATGGTGTACCAGTCCCTTGGACTCATTGTTTCCATATGTCTTTGGTTTGGGGAAGCCCTTTAAATATCAGGTTCACAGAGAAACCTGTCCTGCCATTGTCCTGTGGCTCTCCTGTAATTAACAGAAAAGCACATAGGCTTACGACTATGTGCCTCTAACTAATCATGTTAACCCACATATATGTTATCTGCAATTTTGTGTTAAGTCTCCACTGTGTTATTCCACTTTTAACTCTACTGATTGTCTTTCAGGTAATCATGATTTCACAGTTCTCCTTCCTGCTCCAACTGTAGTATAAGGATGCTTGTTTCTGTATTGTCCAGAGGAGTAAACATCTTCACTTTGTCAATTTGGATGTTTTCCTGGCCTGCACTGTCTCTGTATTTTCAATAATTTTCTTAGTTTAGTTTTGCTGAGTGTGTTTTCACTTCAGGATGATGCTTGGTTGCTATCCAAAAGGTGCGCAGTTCCATAACTCTGCAGGAGAAAGACCTGAATATCCACTTCCATAAAGACTGCAGCCAAGAAAACTCTATGGGGGCAGTTCTACTCAGCCAGGCTTGGGTTTGCTATGAAACAGAATTCAACTCAAAAGTTTTCTTCTGTGTATTAATGAGGCCATATCAGTGTAGAGTGTGTTCTAAGTCAGTCAGCTGAGATATAAAAGGAGCAGATTAGGTTTGAATCACCAACCTTTCCGCTAGTAGTGACCACTGTCACCAACCAGGGATTCCATTAAGGGAGCAGAGTCTTAATTCACAAAGTATTGAGTTCATCTGTTGTAGTGACTGTCTGGTGGCTATCTGAAAAACTGAATCTGGGTGCTTGTCTGTTTTGTATACCTAGCAAGTCACTCACCTTGGAAAAGTGCAGGCATGGGTCAAAAACACTGGGCAGTGACTGATCAATTCATAACCACCTGGGGCAGAAGAGTGCAATTGAGACACATAATGGAGGGAAAGACAGCAGGGCTTCCATTTCATGTACACCATTCACAAAAGGTGTCTCTTAGTGGATTTGAACTGCCAACCTTTCACTGGGTAACTGAGTATTCAATGGTTAGTGTCATTCAGGGACTCCAAGACACTGAGACATGGGGAGAATTCCTAAGGAGATGGTCACAACTCTGCTATGGGACTATAACCACTTCCACCACATCCAGTGCTTATAAAGGAAGAGGATTAGGGAGTTTCTGGACCAGAATGTCTGGGTGCTGTGATTGCCAACCCAAGCTTCACCACAGGGGCCTCTTTTTCACATCAAACCAGGAAGGGGAGACTTGAGGAGCCAGGTAGAGAGAGAGTTGAACATGCTTCTCAGGTGTGTTGGGAGGATATGCACAGAGCATCTTAGCCTGCCTGAGAAATCTAAAGAGCAAAAAGCCTCCTGAAGAAACCCCAGACTTCAGAGTAGTGAGAGGTAACTATAGGCCCAGGATTTGCCAAGACAGATAATGTGTGATACTCTGCTATAGGACAGAGTTCTGAGAGAGAACTCAGATGGCTTGATCTTTTAACTTATCATCTTGTCTACCTGGAGGGTTTGATTGGCGGTAATTTTTTTTATCTTAGAACTTTTGCCCATCATTTGCCTGTGAGCTGTCAGACCCATGACCCACCTGCCACTGCTCTGCTATGGACACCAGTTGCTCTTGAGCCGATTCTGACCCCATATGTTTCAAAGGGCAACTGTGCTCCATGGCTACAACTTTGGAAGTAGATCAGCAGCTCTTTCTTCCAAGGTGCCTCTGGAAGGATTTGAATCTCTTCCCTTTTGTATAGTAGATGCACACAGTAACCATTTCCAATGCCAGGGACTCTCCTCACAATATTGGCTATTTCACAGACTCTCCACCCTACCGGCCTTTGGACTTGTTTAGAACTCAAGAGACTGACAGGGACTGAAGGGCAACGAAGAGGCCAGGATGATAATCGCTCTCCTGCTGTGCTGGGGTGGCCTCTCGGCTCCTCCTGACAACCCGGCTGCTAGACTCGGGTATCTCATCCTCCCCCTTGACCCTCCAGCCCTGGAGGTGGAAATAACCTCATCTCTGTGTTGCCTCAACATTTACTCTGATTGAAGTGGGGTCACAGTTTCACAAAACTTTTTCGATGGTACAAAGACAAAGTATGAGAACCAGTGACAAGTCATGAACCTCCAAATTTCTGTCAGGAGAGAAAGTTGTAAATGTGAAATCTGCCAAGCCCAAGAACAGTGACAGATGGCATACCCTTAGGAACTTTCTAAATCTCTTTCACTTTTTCTCACTTCTGTGTCAATGACCCTTGTAGAGAAAGAAACCTTGGAATCCTGAGAATGAGGGAATGTCCTTGATTATCTGCCTACCAGGGACTCAGCTCTTTATGGGGCCAGTGTAAATTATAACATGACCATATTAATTACTGTTGGTGTTACAGAATATGACACAAACACAATGCTTTCTTTTTTTATACAGAAACCCACTATGAGTTGGTGTCAACTCAAGGGCAACTAACAATAACACCGCATAACAACCAGAGCCTTCATGCTGCCTCTGGAGATGTTGATCCCACAGAGTGGAATTTAAAGGGGCAAAGTCATAAAATAAATTTGATTTTTCAATGTATCTAAACTATCCTTGCCCAGCCTGAGTTACACTGGATGCTTCAAAGCATGTGGGATCCTTCAAATCTTGTAAAGTCATAACACTTGATAAATACAAGTATGAAAGAGGGATGGCTGTATGAACCCTGTGGTGAAAATATTTAAATAATGGTGCTCCTGGGTTATTACTAGCCAGGCTGCCCTTAATTTGGTCCATTGGCTATTACTCCCAGTACATTACTTTTACCCAGATGGTGTCAGTAGCAGGCCTGACAGCAACAGGTGACCAACCATGGAGCCACTGGCCCAGGACATCACCAGCCACAACTGGGATTAGACAGATAACTGGGATCATCTGTCTTGGAGTAAGTACAGACAGGAGGAAGTACCATCTGTGTGCCAGGCATCTTCTGGGGATGTACTTGCCCCCTCCTTAATATGTTTATTTAATTATTGCCTCTCATATGTTCTTATTGTTTTTAAAAAAAAGGTATTATTTGATTTTTTACACTCTGTTCAAGCTGTGGGAAATATATATATACAGATACACATAAAACAAGCATTTGCCATTTGAACATATTTAGCATGTACAACTCAATGGCAATAATTATGTTAATCATGTTGTTCAACCATTGCTGGTTTCCAAATTTTTCATCACCGTTAACAGAAGCTCGGTTACCCTCAAGCAATGATTCTCTCTTTTCCCTTCTTCCTACCTCTGCCAACCATTAATAACCCTGTATTTATATATTTGCTTATTCTAGATATTGCATATAAGTGGTATCATACAATATTTATCACTGACTTATTTTGCTCACCACACTTTTAAACATTCAGTGCCCACATCTTCTTATGTTTTTCTTCATTGCACTGCATTTTATTTTTCCAGTGTTTACTTGAGATTAATTTTAACATGCTAATCTTTCACCAGCCACACCTTGGAAGGAGGATTGGGCAATCCTACTTCCATAGTGATACTGCCTCGGAAACCCAAGGAGGGGTCGCTATATGTCGGGGCTGACTCGACAGCAAATAACAACAACAATCTTTCTTCAGGGCCATGATCTTATTTTAAATAGCCACCATTTCTCTTAGGATGTAAAGTACAAAATTTGGAACCTGGCCTACAACTTCTTCTATCACATTAGCCTAATTTTTCTTCCAATTTACTCCAGGCTCCTTATTTGCAATATTATAATACAGGGCCCTATTGCCCCAAGATACTAGTTTCCCAAAGGTCCTTCCCAGATCATACTCCTATATTATGAAATTTACCTTAAATTTTCATATCCAGTTCGATTTTTGGAAAATTTTATAACTCAGACTAAATCTATATAAAGTATTTCCACATTATTTTATCTGTCTTGGAGAAGTACAGACAAAACGCTCCTTAGAAGCAAGGATGGGCAGACTTGGTCTTGCTTACATTGTAGACATCACCAGGAGGGACCAATTTTTAGAGAAGGATATCATGCTTGGTAAAGTTGAGGGTCAGCGAAAAAGAGGGTTACCTTCCATGAGACAGATTGGCATGATGTCTACAACAATGGGCTCAAACATACCAATAATTGTAAGGATGGTGCAGAACAAGCATCTTCTCATTCTGTGATATAGAAGGTCACCAGGAATCAAAGCTGACTCAGCAGCAACTAACAAAAACACCAACCACATTACTTCAGCTTAACTGTTTTATTATTGCTCAGACTCTGTCTCCATTGCTACCATTAATAAAATTCAAGTCTCTAGGTACTTACGTAACAAGTACGTTGAATTTCATTTCTACTGTTTTCATTACTCTATTACTTACTATTTATCATTGGGGTAGAATCTCAGTCTATGTAGTTCACCACTGTCTCTGCAATGAGACTGTTCCATAATTGTTCTTCAGACTCTGTGAGGGATGAGTTCATCAATGAGTGAAGATTGTGCAAAATATATGAACTATATTTTTCTTGTAAGAGATGAAAAACATGTATTCTTTGTGTAGTAGGCAACACAGAGTCTAGATAGACAGGGGTCACTGCTCATGAGAATGAAGGGGCTCACTGTTGGGAAACCTGCAGTGATTAATGCAGACATGTTCACTAGCCACGAACTGGGATTATTGAAAAGAGCCAAATAAGCATAAACAATGGAGGAGAGGGCATAGAATGACACAAAGGTGCTCACCAGGACCAGGATGCTTTGGGTGGCTCTGGTCTCAGCAGAGGATCTGGGAGAGACGTTGTTCATATGAATGTGTTGGACCCGTTGCTTGTGTCTGTGCAGGATGAAAACCATGGAGCTGCTGGCCCAGGACATGGATCCCAAACACAAAGCATCATGGGAGGATATCAGTGCTGCATAGAGTGAGAATGTGACATTGTCACGCTGTGTGGGACAGTATACCAACACATCTTTCATTATGATGGTATTGTTGCTCCCTTTGCCAGACACATAAATAGGAAAAATGGCATTTACGACCATGTGTAGCATCCAGGAGAGGATATTGGAGGGGCCAATGTATTTTAGGGCTTTTAGTTTAAGCTCTGCCCACCTGGAGTGCATAGGGCTGATGGTGATGGCCTGGAAGACACTCAAGAGGCAGGTGGTGCAAATGGACACACCCCTGGACACCCTTTGAAGATATAAAACAAGTTTGCATCCAACATCATTGAGGAATTGTTTAAACCCAAAAGCGAGCATTGTCTGTGGGACTCCATTTGAGAGAATGACTAAGGAGTTGGCGACAGTCAGGTGCCTGAGAATCAAGTCTGTGGGCCGTGCCCTGGAGCCACTGAAGTAAAAGAAGAAATAATGGTTTATGAGCAAGAAATTCCCTAAGATTCCAACGACTACTTGGAAGAGGAAGGTCATTGCCATTTCTAAATCCATGGAGGGTGGTCTGTCATTTTCCAGGGCTTGAGATTCAGAATTCACAGAGACGGTTCTGCATTGAAACATGAGTTTGGGGCTCAAAACTTTGTTCATGAAAAATAAAACACAAAATTTTCCACTTACTACTTCACCCTGAGAAATTATTCCTAAATATATTTTCCTTTGTTGAGATTCCCAAGATTTTCTGTAATTTTTTTGTTGCTGTTGTTGCATTCACAAAGTTGGTCACTGTTTTGAATCCTGTAGCGAAATTGAATAATTTAATATACATGACTCTCTAAGTTAGGAGCTAATATTATTCTCCTTGCTCAGACAAAGAGAATTTAACCACCGGGGAAATTAAGGGACTCATATAAATAGATGTAGAATCAGGATTTGAAGCTGGGTAACCTGGGTGCAAGGACATTGGGGTTTACTCCTGTGCCATTCTATCATAGCTCCCTCATTGTGTCCTTCACCTTATCCACTGTCTTACTATTGCACAGACCCTGAAAGTCCCCACTGTAATCATTAATAAAATACAAGTGTATAAAAAAGAGGGGAAAAAAAAGAACCAAACTCACTGTTGTGTTGTTTCCAATTCATAGCAACTGCTCCTTGGGTTTCCCAGGCAGTAACTCTGTGGAAGTTGATTGTACTTACATAGCAAGTACATTGGATTTTATTTCCACTATTTTCATGGATACTATCATTGACTATTCATCATTGGGGCAGGATATATATGTTTTATGAGTTTAGTTGTCATCATTTCCCATTTTGTTTAAATATTCTATAGAGTAATAGCACTTGTGAATCAACTGAGAGATCTGAATAAAATATACATGCCCTGAATCATTTTCCATGAGTAAACTGGATTTACTCAATAAATATTAACATGAAACAAACAAAACCAAACTCATTGTCATGGAGTCGATTCAGACTCATAGCAACCCCTACTGGGTTTCCAGAACTACAAATCTTTCCCAAAGCAGAGCAGCTGATGGGTTAAAAACATGTACATTTTTTGGTTAGCAGTCAAATGCCTTAACCACAGCACCACCAGAGCTCCTTAAACATTAACATAGTCACAGAATAATTCACTTTTTTTTTTTTTGGTCAGAATTTAAGTACAATTACATCCATCACAGAAATTTTATACAGAACTGTGCCATGGTCCAAATTATAGGATATGGACCATAAATAAGAAGAAAGTATATTGGGGTAAAAATGAAATGAATCCTCATCAGAGGTCATGCAACCATATATTTGTTGTTTGCAAAAAAATAAATGGAAAATACTATTTTTAAAATATATTAAAACATAAGACAAATGTGCAAAAATGAAGAAAAATGACTTCATTTTCTCCAGTTGCCACCAAATTATACATTTTCTGCTAAGAATTAGATAATGAGTTCCTGCATACCCATTACTGCATGCACAGAGCATTTATAGAAATAACTATGGAAGTCCTGTAAATTTCTTTGTGATTTTCACACACCATATTTAATGAGAGTTGATTTTGAACTTACAATCTTCAAGCACCAAAAATCCAGATTTCACTTGAATCAAATACAAAGAACCAACTTCTGTAAGGATTTCATAAATTACCTTAGATGTAGCCATGTATCCATGTCACATCTCAGACCTTCAGTCTCCCTCCATAAGCTCAGCTCATGCATCCAGAATTGTCATCTTTCCTGGCGACACTAGCACTGGACCACTTTATACATCACAGGAGTCCCTTTTCCAGACATTATCACTCTCCGGCTCCTGGTCTGCCTCTGTCCATCCTAGAACTGTCCTTTGAAGCTGAAATAGAAAATACTCATCTGACTCTTACCTACTGCCAGGACAATGGGCTCAGCAACTGCCACAACAGTAAAAACAGGTGTGTTGGAGGCAGCCAGAGCCTGATATGAGTTAGAGATTCCATGACCTCACCTCCCCACAGAACTGCAATTATGACCTCACCTGGGGCAGCCATGACAGTCTGCCACTGGGGAGCTGAGAAAAGTTCTGAAAAACGTTGTTCCACTTTTTAATTCCCAGAACTCCAGTGTCTGGTGAGCATCTCCAAAGAGACCATTGGAGTGTCTTGGAGACTTCTCATTTTCCATGACATCTGCAGACAGGCAGGGGTTCCCATGAAGGGAGCAGGAGGGGCTGAGGTCTGAGCCTGGAGGGGCTGCCAGAGCAGCACGTGCGTCTCTCTGGATTCTCTGCTTCTCTGAGAGGTTCTTCTACCGTAGTCTAAAACTTTGCTCATCCTCAGACCGTCAATACCATGGTCATTTAATTTATTGGCAGAGAAATGGAATCACATAAAATACCTCCAAAGGATTTTCAATTGGAATTTGTCAAAGTAGGAGCATGATATCCACAGTAGAAATCAGATAATATTTACTTCATGTCTAGCTCAATCCTAACTAGGAAACATAGATGAAATGGAAATTTCCAGGGAAATATATCAAAATTTAGTTCCATTCAGACTGTAAATCTTTAATTTTTATTGTTGTAAATGTATATGTTGTTAGGTGCCACTGAGTAATCTCCAACTCACAGCGACACTATGTACAGCAGAACAAAACACTGCCTGGTCCTGTGCCAGCCTCGCGATCTTTGCTGTACCTGAGCCCATTGTTGTAGCCACTGTGTCAATCCCCTTTTTCATTGCCTTCCACTTTACCAAGCATGATATCTTTCTCCAGGGACTGGTCCCTTCTTACAACATGACCAAAGTAGGAGAGACGAAGTCTGGCCATTCTCGCTTCCAAGGAGCATTCCAGCTGCACTTCGTCCCAGACAGATTTGTTAGTTTTTTCAGTAGTCCGTGGTACTTTCATTATTCTTCGCCAACACCACAACTCAAAAGCATTAACTCTTGTTCAGTCTTCCTTATTCATTGTGCAGCTCTTACATGCATACGAGGTGATTGAGAATTCCATGGCTTGTGTTAGGTGCACCTTAGTCTTCAAGGAGACATCTTTGCTCTTCAGCTCTTGAAAGAGATCTTTTGCAGCAGATTGCCCAGTGCTATACATCATCTGATATCTTGACCACTGCTTCCATTCGTGTTGACTTTAGAACCAAGTAATATGAAGTCTTTGACAACTTCTATCTTTTCTCCATTTATCATGATGTTTCTTATTGGTCCAGTTGTGAGGATTTTTGCTTTCATTATATTGAAGTGTAATCCATACTGAGGAGCTCTGGTAGCATAGTGCTTAAGGAACTTGACTGTTAACCAGAAGGCTGGTGGTTCAAACCCACCAGCCACCCCTCAGAAGGAAGGTTGGGCAATCTACTTCTGTAATGACACCACCTCAGAAACCCAAGGAGGGGTTGCTATGAGTTGGATCCAACTCGACAGCACATAACAATGACAACAACAATCCATACTGAAGACTGTAGTCTTTACTCTTCATCAGTAAGTGCTTCAAGTCATCTTCATATTCTGAAAGCAAAGTTGTGTTGTCAGTGTATTGCCAGTTGTCAATGAGTCTTCCTCCAATCCTGATGCCATGTTCTTCTTCATATAGCCCAGCTTCTCGGATTACTTGCTCAGCATACAGATTGAATAAGTATGGTGAAAGGATACAACCCTGACACACTCCCTTCTTGATTTTAAATCATGCAGTA